ATGTAATAAATATATGATTAAAGCATTAATTCCTAAAACAAGTCATAAACAAAAATGTCTTTTATTTTAGATTCTTTAATGAAATGATTGTTTTACTCGTAATATTAAATTATATTAAATCACATAAAAACTGAAAAAATTATTACAAATTTGTGGCAAAAACTTAAAATAAAAATAAATTAGATTAAAATTTAACAAATTTATTGACTTTTTAAGGGATTTGAAATTCAATCAATAAATCCGATAAATAGGCGATCGATACATGAATTCGTTGTCACGATATATATAAACAAAAGTCACAAAATATTTTAAACATTAAAATAGTGTTTGATTTCTCAATAGTCAACTAAATCGTTAAGACAATGATTGACCGGTTTTTACATTAAATACTTTACAAATATTCATAAAATTTGGTTACAAAGAGGCACTCATTATGTAATGACATATCATATATAAACGCATTTGAAAAACATTTTGATTTCTAATGACAATTAATGAAAATATAATACTATTTATCATTTCAAAGATTGGCACCAATTGTGAGATTCAGACAACCGATGATAACGTCATTCAATATATTATTTAATTGTAAAAACAAATACTAATCGTTGGACTCAGATCTCAACGCTTCACAAATACAGCATTTCTGAGGACGAGAGCGCTTTCGGCCGATATTATCGGCAAACCATTGTTTCGGTGATAATTGATTAGATGACTGACACTCTCGAAGGTCTTGTCTTTCGTTCGCACCTATCATTCAATTACAAAAGTAAACCATTTATTATCGAGTGATGCGCTCATTCGCTGTCAATACTGACCACTCCCTCGGGATCCACTAAAAGCAGATGCTTTCTGATTCCGCTCTGCATTCCCGTCAACACGTACTGACCGGCCGAGCCCTGGGACTCGCGGACCAGAAAGTCTCCGTCTTTCGCGACCAGCGTTTCGCTCTCTTTTCGACTGATGGGTCCGTGAAACCAGTCCTCGGCCTCCAGTTGCGACCCAACACTACTCGTGGCTGCGCTCGCGGCCGGACTGTTGGTCGCTTCGGCTATCGCGCAGTCAAACGGCTCTAAAGGACAATAATGTCAATAATTGAGGACTCATTCAAATGGTTGTATCACTTAATACACACTCATATCAAACGGGTCTTTAACCGATGGTTGTGTTGAGGGCTCACAATTGGATTCACTTTTAATTTGATTGTCGTGCGACTCTTGAGTCGAGCAGTTGACGTACTGGGGATCTGATCGGCTATTTTGTTGGCAATTAGTATCTTTAGTCTGTGAAGTATTGTCCCCTATATTCCCAATATTTTGCTCTTGAATATCGATATTCAAGTCAATGAGATTAGGGCTGTTTTGTGGACACTTTTTAAGGCCAGTCCGGGGGGCCGCCTGTGGCACCCTTTGATTGGCCAGTTGTACGCTCGTGTGATCTGCAGAGTGGACCCTATCGGCCGCTTCACCGGGAGGTAAGTCTGGCAGGTCTGGCGGTATCTTTCCCGGCAAATCATTGTAATAATCTCTGCTTTCGAGTCGATTCGTGTCATCGTTTTCTATATTCAACTTATTAGACATATGGGAAGCGTTGGAACCGTTCGATGCGTCCACTCTTTAGTCACAAAATATACAAATCATTCATTCAAATCGTGAAGCAAATGAACGCAACTTTTCAATACACTTACCTATCGCTAAAGGGTGTAGTTTTCGGAGTCCTCTTCAAGAACTCTTTAAACCTCAGTTCAAACGCCTGTCCTATTGTGGTGATGACGTCCTGTGCGAGACCAGCGCCGCACTCGAGCACAAAGCAAGCCCTGCCATACCTGTGATCTTTCGCCACATACGCCACGAAATCCAGAGTATCCTAAGAGAGCAATACATTTGGTTAGTTGACGGTCACCAAGAAAACGAGTCCATACGTACGGCATCGCCTCCCGAGGCAAACGAAATGTTAGGCATTTCATGGGTGGCTATGTTCTGCAAACATAAAACATGTCATATTTAGCAACACTCTTGAGACGAGTGACCAAATGATAGCTTACTTCTTGGGTCTCGATGACGGATAAATGCAGGTAAGAACTGGTGATCACTAGATTGACATCAGCGCCGGCGTTATCTGTATATACCATTTAATGGATTCAATGAGTGAAACACATTATAGGCAATCATGCATTGAATGAGTGTTACCCATATTGGGGTTGTCGGCCAACATGCGAGTGATTCGCTTGTCTGGGCGTCTCTTCTTGTCGGGTGTCTTGAGTCGACCCAATTCGCAGACTCTATGAATACACTGTTTGGCGATCTGTGAGCGGGTGTCGAAATCCAAACTTTTCATCGATGTGTTGATTCCGAGACATCCCACGTACTGTTGGGTCAGTCAACACATTATCACATTATAGTTATACAGTATTCATAGTTATATACAGTCAATGAAATCATTATTATTGGCAAACTATCTAATTAAATTAAACGTTAATCAAACTATAGTCAATATTTATACTACTATACATTGTCTATTCATGAATAAGATCACGTAAAATATTTCATATTTATAAAAATTCCGCAGATTAAATAGACACTGAACAAATATTAAAGCGTTTTGAAAAAGTAAAATAAATGTATTACCTGTCATATTTGTACAGAGTTCAGCATTTTTATACGATTTTGAGAAATATTTTCCCTAATCTTATTTATGAATGAATTTGTGGGACGACTCACTCATTATTAAAACTCAATGAATGAATGAATGCATGAATGAAGGGTACGTGTAGTGCGGAGGCGTTTTAATGCACAAAATACTATACATTAATAGTATACATGTAGTGTACTATATACTCGTACGGCTAAGAATAGTACATTTATTTAAATACACTGTTTGGCGATCTGTGAGCGGGTGTCGAAATCCAAACTTTTCATCGATGTGTTGATTCCGAGACATCCCACGTACTGTTGGGTCAGTCAACACATTATCACATTATAGTTATACAGTATTTATAGTTATATACAGTCAATGAAATCATTATTATTGGCAAACTATCTAATTAAATTAAACGTTAATCAAACTATAGTCAATATTTATACTATACATTGTCTATTCATGAATAAGAGTACGTAAAATATTTCATATTTCTAAAAATTTCGCAGATTAAATAGACACTGAACAAATATTAAAGCGTTTTGAAAAAGTAAAATAAATGTATTACCTGTCATATTTGTACAGAGTATACGATTTTGAGAAATATTTTCCCTAATCTTATTTATGAATGAATTTGTGGGACGACTCACTCATTATTAAAACTCAATGAATGAATGCATGAATGAAGGGTACGTGTAGTGCGGAGGCGTTTTAATGCACAAAATACTATACATTAATAGTATACATGTAGTGTACTATATACTCGTACGGCTAAGAATAGTACATTTATTTGGATTACAGTCACAATGAATGAACATTTTTACATTACATTGCATAAGTTAAATTAACTTCAGTAAAGACATCAATGTTTTCATTGTCTCCTTATTACTGAATTACTGTTACCACTGGATAGCAATTTGAAAGATAGTACACTATTATATCATACAATTTACATGCACTGTACTTATTATACCTACATATCGCTCATAAATTCATAGAATTTGATCATTTTTGTGAAACAGTATTTAGGTTTGTATTTGGGTTGGACTCGATATACACCTCAAAAGACTCCTTACAACAGACACCACGACTTCCGGTCCAATATTGTCGAGAGGTTTAGCGAAACGTTTGAATGAATAACAAGAGTATAGAAGTTGTCCTTCAAATGCAAATATCGTATAAATACTGTTCATTCATATGACGAGCGAAGCATTTGTCTCATTGGAAACACATTTGATTAGCCATTAATGAAGCATTTAATATGTTCAAATCATTTATGATTTCATTTCCTCTACAATTCAATTTCATATCAAATTTAACTTCCGATTCAATAAACGCTTAAAAGTTGGGTGCAATTCAAATCAATAATATTATGTATTCATACAAAATACATACAGTATTTGCCAAATGAAAAACAAATACATTTGAGTACTTATTGCACAATTTGGTTTCACTCATCAAATAAAAGCACATTAATTAGCAAATAATACAAGAGTTAAAATGAATAACTAAATGAATAAAATGAATAAAAAAGCGGTAAATACTGTACAGACTTATGAATGAACGAGAATTGACACTCAATTTGAATTGAATGACAATACAGTATTCATATTACTATTACTATAATAGTAGCAAATAGTATGGTGTTTATAGTAATGACAGAAATGACTAAATAATTAAATTGAGAAACTGTTGTGCAATAGTGTCATACAATTTGGTTAATGAATGGTTAAGAGGTTGGAGTGAACGGCGAAAGGAAGTGGTCGTCATCTTCTCTCTCACAATCATTTTCGAGACATTAGTTTAAATGTAAACAAAATAATAAGTAGAGAGAGAAAAGTGATTATAATATCTAATATAAGTAGCATTTGTTGGCATTGGTTGGGCGCCAAACACTCAAACACTGCTACCAATGGATTTGCATTCCCAGAGACCAGAGGACCGGGAGTTTCGCTATAATACTAATACTACTGTAGGCTGTGCTCTGTGTATGCCATGTGTTCATTGTGTGCCTCCGAGTGAGTGTCCCTTTCATACACTATTTCCTTCCTAAACACCAGTGATGGCTATGACTAACCACCGGAAACGCTAAATGTCAGCAATTTTATCAAACATTACACTTAACTTCACTTCAAATCCCAAACAATTAAGCACTCAATCCATTGTCTCACTTGCATTACACACAACTAATTACTTATAAATTATGAACAATTATGAATAATTCGGTTCATATTCTTAACTTTTATTATTCTCGGAATTATATTATTGTAGTGTATTATCAGGGATAGTCTATTATCACATTTACAGAGTATCATATCAATTCAATTATATCTTAAAAGTTTTACAAATAAAAATCCATGTCTTTATAATTGAATACTATAGTGTATGTTTAATCTTTCAATGTATACTGTATTATAATTAAATATAAAATTTGAAATATTTATAATATTTGAATACTTTTCGAGTGAACATTATTTAACTTGAGTTAATAAATACTAGAATATATTATAATAATACATAACGTATATCAATATCAATGAAATTGACATATAAATTACAAAAACTATACCGGCTTCATCTAATTGTATGATAAATCCTTTTAAAATGATTGTTAAAATTATTTCTAAATACCTTTCATGCTTAATCTATTTAATTTAAGAATTGGCATTTATTTAGCTATAATTATTTACAACACTAACTACTGTATAAGTTTCCAAGATATTTTCACCTCTTTTTTCAACCCAAATGTTTTCAATTTTTGTAATATATTGTATTATCCGTGTGATCAAACTGTCATTTATATCATTTAAGTAAATGTAATTACAAATAGCGAACCATTGCTTAGCTGACAGACATACTGAATACTTGCGATGGGTTTGAATAGTTATAGTCTACAACTTATATGTCATATAATGTATGTACAGTACTCTATGAATAGTGTATGTATACTATGATAGAGTAATGAATGAATGAATGCATACCCGGACAGCATATGAGATACCCTGGTCAGTCATCTGGTGGTCTGGATGGAGCCACCCGCGGGCGGGTTTGTTGATGAAAGCGCCCGATTTGTTCCAATCGGACCCATTGTCTCGTGAGGTGGAGGGCAGTGGTGCTGAGTTTGGAACCGATTGGCAACCATTGCGCTCAAGACTGGAGGCTGAGTTGGAGGCATTGAGAGCACTGGCAGTCAAACTGGTCTCACGAGTAGTTGGATTCGATGGGACAGTACACACATTATCATCGTTTGGAGCACTGGTTAGCGTATCACTCGTATTGATTGATGAGTGCTGTTGTACGTTGTGTCGGGACATCATGGCTGTGGATGTGGTGGATGTGCTGGAGCTCATGCCCGGGTGACTCGTCAATGGACGCGGAGGGGGTTTAGGCGATAATACAGCGCACGGTTTAGGCGAGTGTTTAAGTAGGGATGGGGGAGAGGAGGGAGACTTCGAGGCACTTACACCTACACTAGTGAGAGGAGGCTTTGGTAGGGGGGGACACACACTGACACTCTTGGATGTCTTGGATGGTAGGCTTAGGCGTGAGTTCGGAGATAACTTTGACTTATGATTAATACAACTATTTGGCGGACAATTCAATTGACTTTTGTTGAAGTCTTGATGAGTATTACTATTACGAGTGGTTTCACACAACCTATTAATAGATTTTGTCGGAAGTTTGATATATCTCTGCGACACTTCAGCTGAAGACTTGTTGGCTTCGTTGGACTTTCGGATGGCCTCCTGTTGTAAGTGTTGTGTGCCTTTGGGTCCCGTATCTAACAGGGGTTCATAAGAAGCAAACAAATGAGTGAAGTTCTCCACAAATGTACGAATTGTGACACAAATGTTGGAGTTATCCATAAGTGAATGGCTTTGCGATGGAAGTGAGGACACACTCCTCACACACACACGAGAGACAGACTATACGATCGTATAAATCGTGAGCGAGTGTTGTCTTCTCGATCCCTAACCAACAACTATACGACTATACGATTGATTCAATGAATGAGTGAATGCCTGCTCCGAGTATACGACCCACGAGTGCCACAACTGTGTGCGTAGTTGTGCTGCAGTTGTGGGCAACGCCTCCACAGAAGTGTACGTAAATGCAGAGGAAGTGCTCAATGCATGGAATGGGAGAGAATACTAGATCTGAAATGTCCTACACTTCCAGCACTGCCAACACTACCACTCCATACACAACCATACGAAGCAACAACAGGCAGAGGCAGAGGCACACAGACTCACCACTCAATCCAATACAGGGGACGCAACGGGAAGCTCGAGTGCCCGGGGCTTATGCCAGACTCCCTACACATCAACAGATGAACACATGAACAGATGCACCCCAACCGACCCCAACCCCAACCAACGCTTCCTCTCCAAAAGACCTCTATTATCCGCCACTACTGCCTCTCTCTCTCTCTCTCTCTCTCCCTCTTTCTTACATTCAAAAGCTTTTCATTTATAAAATGTCAAGTTTTTGGAGATTAAAAAAGTGGCAAAAATAAATACTACAATCAAATAGATTTTAATATATAATTTGACAAATTATTTCGTTATCAAGAGGTTTATAATAATATGTAAAATTGTATTATAAAAGTATATTATATTATTATAGACTGAATCGAGTGATAGATTCCTTAGTTGTATATTGAAAGCCATTAATAACCAAAAACTAAGTCATGAATTCAATGACCGAAAGTGATAACAAGGTTTGCGAGCAATACTATAGAAACACGAGTTTATATTTAAGCTGTATTTGTATGACTGTATTGTCTATTTCACTCATTATATGTAATTAAGTAAATGAAATAAAAATTATTAGGAAAATACAGAGCTTTTACAGACAGACAGACATTGAAGACAACAAATTAGTCTTATCTGTATTATAAGAAATCTAATTCAGAGTATTTATATTGAGATAAAGACACACCAATGGCTGGTTGACAGAGATTTGTGTCCAACAATCATACTCTATGTAATCATTTGTGACTATAGACCGCAGTAATCATCAATTGAATCACCAGTAAACCCAATGAATGATAAGTTTGCCAAAACTTGATATAATGTTTGTGTTTTAATTATAAAGTAACATAAAGTAGTGTCGAAAATGTTTGCCTTTAGAAAATAAAGTTTGCATTCAATGGTATGACTCGATTGAAAATGATTTACAATTGAAATACTGCTATTCGTATTGCATAATAGTGGGACCAGATGTCCGTTTTGGCACTGGATGGTCCAGTATTGAGGGTTTAGGCTCATTGTCCAGTTCATAGTGACAAACTGGACCATTAAATGTCAGATTCGTAAATATTTTTGTGGGTCATTTATAATGAATAAAAATTAATTTATAAATTACTAAATTACACAACTACCCAGTACTACTTATTATGTAATAACTTATATGACTCCCCTTGTCTTAACCCCCTTCTGGACATGACTTTTTAATATTTTAATTACAAAAATTATGTCCAGTTTTTAGGACATCGTGGTCTACCCAAAATAGTCTTGGTCACATTCATTCCATGGAGTGCTATGCTATGGCAATGCTCGGGCATAACTACAGAATCAATGGGAATGTGCTGTTAGGCATACCATCACACCATACATACCATCTATGATATGAGATTGTCATCAACACTACCCCCACAACCACTACAACCACCACCTCTGCCACCACTCACTGCTGCAGAGGTGCCCCTATTGGGCCACAAATGCAACTATAAATCTATGACTTTTGACCACTTCTTCACATTATTGTCAATCAAACTGCACTTAATATAACCACAACTTTCTCACATACAGTCCACTTATATCCAGTACATTGAATTGTCCAGGTTGAATAGGTTATAACTGTAAGGTAGACAACCTTGCTCCAACAAAACATTATAATTATGACACCTTTTGTCAAAACAATGGATAAGACTTGGAGTAAATGGGACGCGATTTGAAAGCAATGCAATGACAGCACGTGTGGGCACAGGGAGGGCCCCCTCCACACCACACCACACAGTGTGGCAAATAAGATGCAAATGAATGAGACATAAAACACTTACCACTAGTACAACACCATATCATTAGAAATGTATGGATTGGCTAATCATATGTCATATACGGTGGCATTGATGGCAATGATTGATATGCGGTCACCACTACTGTGACTACACCGACACCACAATGCAATGAATGCACTGACTGTCCAGTTGTGTCCAATTGGTTGCCAATCGGTGTTCACGACAAACAGTCACACAATCGCTGATTGTCTCCACTGTTGCCAAACACTGAGTCAGTGGTGCACTGATTGTCAACTGAATAGCATAGCAGTCAATACAATACGTCTGCGAACACTGACTGTCCATACGATACGCCAAACACACGAACCAAACAATTCTTCAGTCATTCATGAAATGATAAATTCAATGACTTTTGGATTCATTTTATATAAAATTAATTTTTATATTCAAAACATTTTTTTGCAAATATTTGTCTCAAAACTTGCACTCAATTAAAGTTACTTTTGTATCAAAACTTCATTTCTTTAGAATTGAAACCAATTTTCAACAATAATTCAAAAGTTGTGAAAAACTTCCAAAACTTTATGATTAGTGTCACAGAAGTCAGAGTCATCTCATAGTCTGCCTGAGAGTCCATTCCTCACGAGTATATCAGATATGAGTGAAGATAATCGAAAAGACATCGAAGACAGCGACAAAAGCA